TACTGGCCTGGTGATACCCTCGGGGACGAAACGCCAACAGGCAGTTGCATCGACCCAGTGGTTGTAAAAAATCACCAAAGATACCAGGCTTTAAATTTAGACAGACGCTCGTTTTGTTTTCACTAGACACATCAGCTGCGCTCGTAACAAAACAGTTGGAAGGTCGAATCAATTAAAGAGCATTCAAGAGCAAAAGGTTCAAAATAATTTGGCAAACAAAATCCTCATATCAAAATACACATGTGTCAGCGTATATATTTTGATGCCTCAAAAGTTACCCATATATATATATAATGTTGAATCATTTACCAATGAAAGTTTTTCTTGTTCCCTTACACAATATTTATAGCATCATTGCAAAATGTTATATTTACTGAAAATGTTATTATATTCAAATGTAATTATAACCATGGATATATTAATGACATTAAACCTTGTTTGTCTAGCTATGAAGCCGATGAGGGTTTCTTATCGTCGAGTTGCAAGTTGCGAGTTGAAAAGGCCGAGTTGCGAGTTACAAAAGTCGAGTTGCGAGTTACGAAAGTCGAGTTGCGAGTTACGAAGGTCGAGTTATACACTGCACGAGGAAGGGTCCCGGTATTTTGATTGCAGGATTTGAAAGAGTTATGTGATACTTATCTATAAGAGTCTACATGTTGCAAAGTCACGCACGATTAAATTTCTTTCATGAGAGCGACATTGTTCATTTTCTAAAATAAAACAGGATATACTGTAGATATAAGACAAAATGTATACCGTACTGAACAAATCAAGCATAAGAAAATAAATCATGTAGACAAATGAATTATACTTGCAAATAATCGACATCTCACAGAATATGGAACTGTGTTAGGCCTAAAGTAAATACTTATCAAAGGTACCAGGCTTATAATATTTTCTACGCCAGACGCGCGTTTCGTCTATACAAGACTCATCAGTGACGCTTGAATAAAGTATATTCATTAGCATACCAAGTGCTAACTCTTCGTCTTTTGCAAAGGTTTAGGGTGATATAGGCACAATTGCACATTTAACTTAGGAAAATATCTCATGAATTAGTCAGAAATGTGATATGCCATGTGCTTTATGTGATAAATTAAATAATTTTGAACTTTGTTAAATTTGTGATTCAACCCCAAGCGGAGTGTGCATATATATACCAAATAGTCAATAATCGAGTTGTTCAATGTATGTATATCTGAATACTACAACGCAAAAATAAGCATGCTATAGATGTCTTTCTATGGCATTATGGTAACTTCCTGGCATAGATCATAATATGGATTTTTTTTTTAATTTGGAAAGACGATATTCTACAACAAGCTATACCGTTGTTACAAAAAATAAAGGAACAGTTTTAAGGAATGTTATGGCGTGTGTTTTTACGGTATGGGCACGGAAGCCTTGTCTATCACAAATTTACTTTTTTACCTGCATGCAGCCTTGATACAAATGTTGTAGTTTCAGATATCAGCTGGGTATTGTACACTTTTGTATGATTAACCCGTTTTTTAGAAAGAAGTTACATATTCCAAAACTGTGTCTTTTGTCTCTTTTACAAAAGTATCTTTGACAGCTACATGTAAAGAATAAAGAATGGAAACGGGGAATGTGTCAAAGAGACAACAACCCAACCAAAATATACAAGTCAACCTAAGGCCACCAATGGGTCTTCAACACAGCGAGAAATCCCACACCCAGAGGCAGCCCCGAGCAGGCCCCGAAACACAATGTACACTAGATCAAGAAAATGGACGCCATTCTATGCTCCGAAACATATAGATGAACCAAAATTAAAAAATATACAAGACCAACAAAGGCTAGAGGTTCCTGACTTAAGACAGACGCAAAAATGCGGCGGGGTTAAACAGGTTTTATGAGCGCTCAACCTTCCCCCTTCACCTCTAGCCAATGTATAGACATATATAACTTAAACGTCCAATTTTGAGTGACACTGCCAAAGAATATATTTTGGGGTCCCTAACAAATATTGCTTCTGCAGCTGCCCCAAAGAGCCCATCTTAACGAAATCTGCAGAAGGGGTCTTTCACATATATGTTCTATAGTGTAGTTGCTATCTCCCTTTACGTTTAATATGACGGTGCTAGCTATGAAATTTAATAATAATTAAAACTACAAGCCATCCGCTATATTTCAAAAGGCTATCTGTTTCTTCAGAAAATAACCATACTTTGCGTAGTGATTATGTTAGCAATCCCTTCATTTTGTTTTACACGAGACTCAGATGAAGTCCAAACAAAAAGAATCAAAAATACTGTATACAATTCTATAAGCAATCATCATTCAAAAATGTTAAAGAGGTACACCAAAAAATTTAAATAGTTCTCCCCAATTTCACGCATATCTAATTTCGTAACTCGCAACTCGACTTTCGTAACTCGCAACTCGACCTTCGTAACTCGCAACTCGACTTTCGTAACTCGCAACTCGACCTTCGTTACTCGAAACTCGACTTTCGTAACTCGCAACTCGACCTTCGTAACTCGCAACTCGACCTTCGAAACTCGCAACTCGACTTTCGTAACTCGCACCTCGACTTTCGTAACTCGCACCTCGACTTTCGTAACTCGCAACTCGATACTCGACAACAAGTGAATCTCGAAGCCGATGCAGGGGCTTGTTGTTCATAGCTTTTTAAAACAAGTATTAGCTGACGAAAAGTCACGATACTCAAGCTGCAGTAATACATCTAAGCAAAAAGTTACTTCGTTTCAATATGATGTAATGGATTGCATATTTTTAAAAAAATTGTCAAGTAGTTTCAGATAAGAAAATTTTACACTGTTTCTAGGTGGTCAACATTTGCAGAAGTAGACTTCAACAGTATTTTCAAAAGGGGGTTTTAACCATCAAGACATTTTATGTATACTGACATTCCTGCAATGAAACGAGCGACTGTCGATAATTTTAACGAAGATGAGAACATCATTTCTAAAAAGCCGGGGCTGTAAAATCCTGTGAAAGTATAGCATTGCTCTGTTTCTTACATCGCCTGCATGTATATAAACGACCTGACAATTTTCTTTCTCTGTCAGTGTAATGGATAAAACAATAGTAGGATTTACCAAAAATGTCATACAGTATACCAGACAACACCATTCAAAAGCAGACTTATCCGAGAAAATCGACAACGAACAACATATGGTCAAAATAGCCTGAATTGGTACAGAAAGGAAAGGCACGCAATGGTTGGGTTTAAACCAGTTTAACTAGCACACAAACTTAATCCTTTGGCTTAATATCAATAAGTCGTAAAAGTGAAATACCCAATAAAAAAATAAACAGCCCAATTACCAACAGGAAGACCACTTACTTGCATATCTTGAGCCCTGTTGTTTACGTTTCACATCATCTTCGTGCTAAAAATTGACTCATTGAAAATTTGGTCATATTCTGAGCCAGCTGTTGTATATTAAGGAAAATTGTAATGGCTATGCTCACTCCACCCTTCTAAACCTTTCAAAATTTAGCATATTATACTTTTACTATTACTTGATGTTCAATACTGGCAGAAGTGGATCTTGGATTTTCAACAGATTTTCCAACAAGTGTGGAGAGGAGGTGAGGCAGCCGAATATTTTAACTGACAATTCTGCAAAGCGACTGTGAAATTATTTTACGGAACTGACAAATCCTATAAAATAAAATAGCTCAACATAACAAAATATGGGAAAAAACCTAATTTATAAACCTACAATAGGGTAATACCAAATGTAAAATATGTGTTAGTGTTGATCTTTCAAGTTGTTGTTAGATTAAACAGGTACTGGTAATTACTTGTATTAAAGATTCGAAAAATCTTTTCACATGTGGATATTGAATTGCAAAAGATTTAAATTGAATATAGAAAATTTATTTTAATTGAACAAATATTTGGACATTACTATTGTTATAAATACATTTAGTATATAAATATTACTAGTTCTGTTATTTATTTCCTTCCCGATAGTATTACACATACACTTGTGGACTTGGAAAAGCATTGAAACAAACAAATAAAATGGAAATAAAAAAGGTAAGAGAAATTCTTTATTATGTTCCAATGATTGTTCATTCATGATCATTTATAACCTTATTGATGATTCTGCGAAACTTCATATTCTCAGACGAGATTTTTTTTCTTTTGGTTAAATAAGTCAGCATTGATTGAATAAACTAATGAAATATTATACATGTACAGTATTTGGCGTACCTAGTTTTTGTCTCGCCTGTGACAATAGTCACGGAAGCGATATCTAAGCAGGCTGTTTCCAGCGTCGGCGGCGTCAACAATTGTTAAAGTTTGTGATAAGATAACCGAGGCGAGATATATCTCATTGAAAAGAGAGTATATGATATGTATTTTTGAAACAACCCAGAAAGGGAAATGTGACATATTTATATAGTATGATGGTATCAGTTGTCATCAATAAAGTACATCTATATCTATCGATGACTACACTTTTGTTTTGTCTGTTTGTTTGAGGTTTTTAAGTATTATTGTTCAATTTGCCATAGATACATTGTACACATATGACATAAAGAGTATGACTTTCGTTATTTTTCTCGAGATTGTGTGCTTTGGAAATGATAAATTTATCATTTATATGTTTCCTTGGTATATTTATCTGTTTTATTTGTTGTACAATTTCCTGACTATTTATTGTACAATACCAACCAATTATCGAAGTACATTTATATTGTTTGAAAAGTATAAGTTACTACTTTGCATTCTATATGATGCAGTTACACTTACAATTAGTCTTGTCAAATTGAATGGAAGACCGTTTGGCAGTGTAAAATGGAAAAATAAGCAGCTAATTGGGAACTTTAAATTCAATATAATTATGTGGGAGAGTATATCTATATATTTCTCGACGGAAAAAGCCCTGGAATCTATTATTGACGAGACACGTGCATTTGGCTGTGTGGGATAAAAAATACACATAACATACTACAGGAAACGTTTACTCATTGATATATGCATTACTGCATGATACAAATGGAAAGTTTGACGCGCTGTAATATCCAAACCCCTTAAACTAACATTCATACGTAAGTGGGGGGTGTTTGTACCAGGTAAGAAATTTGTTCCTAAGAGTATCTTACAAAGAGATGCCTCCCAAACAGTATATATAAACATAGATCTTTATGAATATTATATCTCGATGTTCTGTTATTTCATATTCTTTCAGGTAGAAGATTTAACTCCCGAAGAAGTAGCAGGTATCTATCATGTATAAGTGAAGTTTCCACTAAACTATTCAATTAGAAGACATGCCGAAATGAAATACAATTAACAAATAAAAATAAAATGCTTCGCTGAGCGCAGCTGGATACGACCGCAGAGGTCCAACCCTGAACAGTTGGGGCGAAAATGGACACAATTTTCGCGCTTGATACAGGTCTGAACTTGGATTGTAATTAAATATTTGACACATAATAGGTTTCTGACACCGAATAACTGTAGTCGAAAAACTTAGAATTGGTTATATGATTTGAATTTATATTCAATTTTTTGCTTTTGTGCATAACACTATGCTGTTGCGAATTGACCCCCCCCCCCCAAAAAAAAATAATACCCCCCTTTTTTTTTGCTTTTTTGAAATACACTATGCTGTTGCGTATTGACACCCCCCCCCCCCCCCTTTTTTTTTTGCAAAAAAAAATATTTGAAGAAATTTTCTTTTTAATTTCTGAAATCTGAAATGAAATAAAAAATTGCCCCCACAATATCTTTTTTACCCCTTCTTCCCCCCACCCTTTTCCAAAAAAAAAATTCTTTCCCTCAAGATATGGTCGTAATCTCAATTCAAATTTCCAATGGAGTTTGCAACCATAATTACCAATTTAAATACATCATAAAAGTCTTAAATAGATAATTTGAAAGCAGTGTAAGGGAGGTAATCCAACATTGTACAACATTGTACAATTTTGTTTTTGGATTACCTCCGTTACACTGCTTTAAAATTGTCCATTAACCAGGAAACCCTTGTTTTTTTCCCTTTTTGCCTCTAATTCCTAAACGGTTTGAGCCATAACCCCCCAAAGCCAATCCTAACCATCCCTTTGTGGTATGGAAACTTGTGGTATAATTTCAGAGACTGGAAGTAACAAAAATGCTTATTTTTGGCCCCTTTTTGGCCCCTAATTCCTTAACTGTTGGTACCATAACCCCCAAAATCAATACCAACCTTTCTTTTGTGGTATTGAACCTTATGGTAAAATTTCATAGAGATCCATTCACTTAAACTAAAGTTATTGTGCAAAAACCAATGTGTCTTCGGACGACGACGACGACGCCAACGTCATACCAATATAATATACGACCGCAAAAATTTTTCGCGGTCGTATAAAAACAGGAGCCTTTCCCACCTGTTCATGTAGTATATATGTTGATCTTTTGGATAAATTAGTTTTAAATCAACGGTAAAGATACAAAAAAAAAAATCACTTTGTGGAGGATATTTTAAATAAGTTTGTCTTACATTTAAAATTGACACTTATGTTAAAGAAAGTACCTTTTTCAATGATTCACATAAAATTATCTCCTAAAATAAAATAGTTTGCTGTTTTGATATCTGGAGGGTAACATAAGAGACTAGTGTCTATACAATGTGTCAAGCTCTAAATCACCAAAGAAGGTCCATAATGACAATAATTGTCATAGTTTGATTAAAACTTGAAGCCGGTTAAGTAAATCGATATTTGGAGTATTCAAATATCTTTTTAACATATAAAAATTCAAAAGAAAAAAAATATCCCATATTTCATGCAAGAAAGAAAAGAATCGTAATTTATATTCAGAAACATTCTAATGATAACGAAATCAAAGATAAACGCGGAACATTTATTGATGGTATTTAATGATAAGGACAACACACACCATATTTCACTTTAAAAACGCTGCATCTTAAGCTAGACACCCAACTGTACAACTAAACACTTCTAACATTTAATTGATTTACTAGAATTGCAATGAAGACAGCACAGCAGCTTTTTTCTCAACGAAATGTCTACCACAATATTTTTTGCAAATGCAGTTCAACTAATTTATCAAAGTTTTAGTACTTGCATAACAATTCCTTATAATTTGAACGTAAATTGTATTTTTAGGTATTTTTAATGTTCTAGCAGTACTATACCTGCGTTATTGGAGAAGGTTATTCTGAAAATATATGTACATTGTAAAAAAACAAAACGGTTTATATTACAGAATTTCGAGAAACATTTAAATTTTTCGACAAAGATGGTGATGGTACAATTTCTGTAAATGAAATAAGAACTGTCATGCGCAGTATTGGACAAAATCCCACGGAAGCTGACGTAGAAGCCATATTGACACGATATGATGGCGATGGTATGAAGTACAAATTAACAACACAATATGATAGTATGATGGGCTCAGTAAATAGTGTTTCGACACTGACATGATTTCTACATACTTTTTTTTAAAGATATTTTTAAGAAACTAAGGTTCTAACATCCACAGGCAAAGTTTACTATAGATGGGTTCGTCTATTCTTTTTATATCCTTTTGGTCATATTGCTCAAAAGTATTCAAGTATTTATATATCCTTGGCCTTAAATTTGGGGTTTGAGCTTTCCTGATGAATGTAAATGCAGAATACGCCTCAGACACACCTTATTTATGAAATGGTATTTTCATTTGAACTCGTATTAACACCCGGTTTGCAAAAATACAAGGTGCTTGTTGGTTTATTCCAGGAAATGGAAAATTAGACTTCAATGAATTTCTTGGGATGATAGTTGATAAGTTAAACAATCCTGAAACAGAACTTCTGAATGCCTTTAAATTATTTGATAAAGACGGAAACGGATTTGTAAATGTGGATGAGCTCAAATATATCGTTACACATCTTGGTGATCAGTTGACAGACGAAGAGGTACAAGAAATGTTCGATGAAGCAGACTTGAATAATGACGGACAGCTTAATTATGAAGGTATATATGTTTCTCGTTTCTCGTTTTTTATATAGATTAGACCGTTAGTTTTCCTGTTTGAATTGTTTTACACTAGTCTTTTTGGGGCCCTTTATAGCTTGCTGTTTGGTGTGAGCCAAGGCTCCGTGTTGAAGGCCGTACTTTGACCTATAATTGTTAACTTTTTACACATTGTGACTTGGATGGATAGTTGTCTCATTGGCACTCATACCACATCTTCTTATTTTTATATAGTTCCACAACGAAAATATTACTTAAGTATTTCCTCTCTACTCATTGGGTATAAGAATTTGATAACCATGCATAATCTTTCATGGTGTTTGAAAAATAAACCCTTGTGCGTACACAACTAAATGCATACTTTGCACAAAATTATAACCCAATGTCGGTGAAAGAAATGCAGCCAATAACAGAACTTTTTGTTCTAGGGCTTAAAGACATTAAGTAACATGGTGACTTTAGCTATTTTAGTCAAATAAATCGGCGCAATTTTATTTCGGGAATTTTGTTTTTACTTATGTCTGGATATATATATAATAAACTATTTGAAAAAAAACAAACGGTATGCAGGTCACATACACCAGTCAAAGCGTACAACTTTTGAGTGAACTTTCCATACCAGTACCATAAGCCATTTCAACGAGCTGTTCACTGATCAGCATTGTAAAGAGGACGTTATACGAGTAGATCTTTTATAAGATTTTGTTTTCACTACTGTTAATTCTTAACGAATTCGATAAGATGAAAACAAAAGTTTTTTAAATCCGTATTAAACTTTTGTTTGTATTCTGTTCAATCTTCTAGATAGTCAAAGCAATTGTCTACTATGTCTATTAAAACCGATATCAAGTTGAAACGTTCTTATTGTTGATGCACAAATTGATTTTCTAATCCTTCGTTACTTTCATGGTACGTTTACATTAATGAATGATTTAATTTTGGATGTAAAATGTCTTCCGATTGGCTGAATATTTTTTGTCTATCAGCTCATAGACATTATTTTGTCATGTGACCATGAAGCTTTTTCATGATTTACACCTTAAAAATGTAATTTAGAATTAAATTATAAGGAATAATTTTAATATTTTTTTTCTCTATTCGAAATAACCTCAAACATGTGGTGAACACTTTTAAATAACCCGCTACGCGGGTTATTTAGTGTACACCACATATTTGATGTTATTTCTTCAGGCAGAAAAAATATTACAGTCATTCTTTAAATAAAACAACATGAAATGGGTTTCCGTATAGTAATTAAAACGTAATTATAATACAAAATAAAGTAGTTTGGTACGTTGGACACGGAATTTTAATTTGACGCTTGCATTTTCAAGTTTGGTACTTACTTACTTTTGACTGGAAAGGAGAAGGTCAGGTAAGGGCTAATTTTGGCCTAAAATTTGAAGTACATCTGATGAAAGATTTTTGACATTTTTTAAACACTTTAATAACAAAAAGAAAACAATTATAGAAAACTGAACGATATAAAACATACAGAACATTTATTATCAAATGCACATATGTAATTATCTATGTTCTGCTTAGATACTAAAATATTCAAAATGAAAGATGCGAAATTGATTACTAGTATTGGTTTTGTTTTGTTTTCAGAATTTACTGTGTTAATGGCATCATGAGAATGGATAAATATTCATGTGGCACTTTGAGTTCTTGAAAACATTTGCTTTGCAACACCAGGAATAAAAGATTCAACTATGAAATAAAAGTATTTAAATTATGAAGTCTCTCTTTCTCTCTTTCGCTCTCTCTTGTTTTTATAATATTAACATTTGTATAATAAAATAACACAATCAACCAGCAAACGTATTGGGAATTATTATCATTATTGTTAAAAGAAGAAAGGTTGAGATTGACAAGACCATGTGTTATGTCGAAACGTTTGTCTTTCTATCGGCTATTGTAAAAAGTGTACGACTAAGGGTTATACAGATGATATTCTACTTCGATGTCATAGACAATACAAATATGCCTTTGACATCAAGTTACTCTAGTTGATTTTTCTCATACGCCCGAATAAAGATGTAAAAAGATATTTTGGATATATATGTGCCACCACTTACACATTTACAAGCAGAGAAACACTGTATAGGAACTTTCTGGAGAATTTCATACTTTTTATTATTCTAAATGTCGAAACATTATGTTATGTAGTCAAGTCGTCTATAACATTTATAAAGCGGAATTGTGAAATAAAATTCCGCTATTAACAGATTGGTTCAATTTTCAAAACGAATAGTCAAAATAAGCTCAAAAACATCTCTGATGTATTAATGGCTTGAAAGTCAATAAATCAACCTTATTTGAATTCATGCAACCTTCATTGTTACTCTTCTCTGGAGACTACGCACGTGCTTAGTATGTTAAAATTGTTAAAAATGAAGAATATCAATGTGGAAAAGTGAAGCAAAGGAGCCACCGGGAAGAACCATTTCGTTGACTGATCATTCTCATACAGTTAAAATAATGATTTACATTTTTTAAAAATCTAAATCATGAAATCGTCATGAAAACGATTGCAAATGCTTGTCTGTGTATTTATATTTATGTGAACATCAGGTCATATGACTCTATGCATTCTTCGGAGGTCATCTCGATGGTTAATTAGATGGCATCTAGTCTAAATTACACACAGAATGCTGATACATTATAACGAGTCTATGCATTGTGAATTGTTTTTTTTTAGACTTTTTTGTAATTTGGATATACGATTTAGTATGTTATAAATCAAATTAAGAATTTGAGTCAAATCTGTGAACATGAATTTGACGGCAAATGCCCCTGTAAGGGCATGTGATAGCTTTAGTAGAGCTAATTAAATACTGAACTGAAGATATTGCCCTTTTTAAGTATTAATATGTTGTTCTGATTATCCGAAAACGCTATTTGTACAGTGAAATGGATGTCAAAAAGGTACTAGTAACATTCGTGTCAAAAGACGATTGAAAAGAATTCTTAGACCAATTCTTTTGATTCTGCAACTTTAGATTAAAAAAAGATTAACGTCTTGTCAAAAACCGTTATTTTCGTCTTCTTAACATAATTTCAATAATCACAAGCACCGATCAGGACCTAATCACCAGCACAGAACATTCTCTCGCAGGACAACTTTACACACCGAGCCTTTTAAAAAAAAGATAAGAAAACCCTTATTTTTCCACTGTTTTATTGTGTTGAGAATTATGCTTTAAAGGAGATAAGCTACCGTAAGCATACCATTACCCTGCACTGTTACATTTGCAGTTAGAAAAAACTTAAATGGTAGGCTTAAGGGGACGACCATTTAATATTTGGGGGGAGGGGGTGAATATTTATTTTCATCTATTGCTATTCATGATTTTTCCATTCATTTTCATTCTGTCTTGTCCAAAGATAGTTTTTTTTTTCAGTTCACACCAAGCCAGGAAATCCTCCTGCCCAACCCCCACCACCCCGAAAATCATCTGGTCGTCCCCTAAACTGGTTGTAAATTGATTGGATCTTAGTTAGTGACTGTTTTATTGTTTTATCACACTGATTCTGTTTATTTATACATTTCTTAACCTAAATTTAAAAATGTTCGCATAGGTTGAATGAACTGTTAAAACTAAGTTTAAAGAGTGATGTCATCTCTCCAGATAAAAACGTATGTTTTTATACGGCCTGTTTACCATGGCCATATCAGGAATTGGGTATTTTTTCTGTAAAATTATTGCTTCTATTAAATACATTAAATGCGTTAGAAGAATACTTCCCAGAAGATTTGTATCCACCTCATTGTCTTGGAAGTCACTGAATTTGTTTACACGGCGTCCAGTGAATAACTGCCATAGTCCAAGAACGAATATAGGAAGTGCCGATATAGAGAACATTGCGATGTATACTCCAGTCCGGTTTCTATAGTATTTTCGATGTTTGTATACTTGATACATAACGACATAAGGCGCAACTGAGAGCAAATAGGGTCCATGTAAAATAAATTTGATAAACTCTAAAGTTTGAATACAAATTGTCAGTGTCAATCCCACTATATAGTACACAACCACAAATATAAGGGGGCACGTGTAAATAAGTAGCACTCTAAACTCCGGACGAATTATTTGTAGTGGTAACTGTAAGACGGAAAACAAGAAAAAGTCGATTAAAATGCCAAATGCGAATACACAGCAAAATATTTGGAGTATGTAAAACAAAGTTTTTGAAAATCGAATACGAATACTAGGTTTAAGGACATTTCCAATTGCATCTTGTATATATTGGCATATTACTGAACCAATTAGTAACAGTATAATGAAAACTAAACGTATTCCGCCATGTACTTCTTTCAGAATGTCATCAACTTTATTCAAACTTTCTGCGATTCTCCATGAAAGTCTATCTGCCGTTTTTGAAATAGATTCAGTTGCATTAGCTATTCTCGCAGCTTGTGGTGCTATAACTTCGACAATGGCAACCTGTAACTCATTTATTCTAGCATTCACTACAAAGAACTCTTGCTGAACATAGGTTTTCAAATTATCAATTGCAACTTGAGTGTCTCGTGCTGTTTGCGCTGCAACCTCATATCCTCGATTACCTCCCCTATTACAACCATTTACCAGTCTGGTATTGTTTAGAAGACTTAACACGACGAAGAACCACACTAAATGCATCTTCTTTTAAATGATCTGAAATAGTGAATAGTATCTGAAATTTATTTTCTGTACACATTGTCATGGTGATGAAATGTTAAAAGATCGTTGTCCAATATTTGAAGACTCCCATTGTTACTATACAATGCCATACAAAGACATATCACTCGAAATATGAACAAAACTCTGAACTCAAAATTGTCTTTGTTCTTGTACAATTTATGCTGTTGTATAAATATAGCACCAAAAAATTATATAACAATAAGAAGAATCACATTGTATATAGTCACACCAAATTGTACATCGACTAATATATTGTCAATACGATAAAATGTTTTTTCCATTCTATTTTTTATTTTAAGCTCACCTGGCCCACAGGGCCAAGTGAGATTTTTTCATCACTTGGCGTCCGTCGTCCGTCGTTAACTTTTACAAAAATCTTCTCCTCTGAAACTACTGGGTCAAATTTAACCAAACTTGGCCACAATCATCATTGGGGTATCTAGTTTAAAAATGTGTCCGATGACCCGGCCCGCCAACCAAGATGGCCGCCATGGCTAAAAATAGAATATAGGGGTAAAATGTAGATTTCGGCTTATATCTCTGAAACCAAAGCATTTAGAGCAATCTGATATGAATAAAATTGTTCATCAAGTCAAGATCTATCTGCCCTGAAATTTTCAGACAAATCAGACAACCCGTTGTTGGGTTGCTGCCCCTGAATTGGTAATTTCAAGGAAATTTTGCAGTTTTTGGTTATTATCTTGAATATTATTATAGATAGAGATAAACTGTAAACAGCAATAATGTTCAGCAAAGTAAGATCTACAAATAAGTCAAATGACCAAAATGGTCAATTGACCTCTTAAGGAGTTATTGCCCTTTATATTAAATTTTTAACAATTTTTTGTTAATTTTTGTAATCTTTTACAAAAATCTTCTACTCTGAAACTACTGAGACAAATTTAACCAAACTTGGCCACAATCATCATTAGGGTATCTAGTTTAAAAGGTGTGTCCGATGACCCCGCCTCCCAACCAACATGGCCGACATAGCTAAAAATACAACATAGGAGTAAAATGCAAGTTGTGTCTATTATTTTTTGAACCGTTATAAATAGAGAAAATCTGAAAGGAGCAAAAAAGTTCAGAATAATGAGCTCTACCAATTGTCCATATACGTCAAAACTGTTAAAAAATTCTTATAGGAGTTATTGCCCATAAATGACAAATTTTACCATTTTTTTTCATTTTTGCCTATTATCATGAAAACTATGATATTTAGAGTAAATATTTTTTTCCCGTTATGCCTTATATGATTTAAATTATAATAGATAAATAAACACTTTAAATCACAAAAATGATCAGCAAGGCAAGAGCTATTAAAAAGTCAAATTTTGCATATATAGTTAGTAGACCGTCACTCTTCATAGGAGTGATTGCCCTTAAATAAGGATTTTTTTTACCCTCTTTTGTGTTTTGAGCAAAAACTAAAGAAGATAGAGAGAAACTAAACAGACTAAAAGATCAGTAATACAAGATCAACAAAAAAGACATACCACAGTTTACAAAAACACTGCACAGAAGGATTGGGCAAAAGAAACCCTACCAAAGACCGGAGGTGACATCATGGACATCAATACTCTGGATGGTTAAACTGTTCCTGCTTGAATAGAGGCATCCTTCTTGTTGATCATGACAACCAAACGTTGATAAGTGGATTCTATGATGATAAGGACATGGTTCTCACTACATCAAATGGAACATGTCCATGGTTGTTAATGTGTATTTGGTCATTTTCGCGAATTTGTTACTCTTTTATTTTATCATCACAACATTTTTACCGCGAGCTGATTAAAGTTTGAAATATTGTACATTTTAAGCTGTCTTTTGTTTGAGACTGTGTAGTGACTGCTTAAGATATCTTTGGGTATTATTTTTGTGTATGAGACTGTGTAGTGACTGCTTAAGATATCTTTGGGTATTATTTTTGTGTTTTGGGTTGCTATCCAACATCCCGTTTAATTGATAACGTAAAATGGCGTATCACTAAACATTGAAAAATTCTATACTTCTATGTTTAACCCCTTGATACCATTGTCAGGTGGTAGTGTATTAGGGTATGTAAAATCTTGATTATTGAAAAAAAACATTCGAGAAATTTCAGAAAGATCCGGTCTTATCTTGCTTTAAAACAATAGTGATTAACAAAGTCGTAAAAATAAAAATGATTAACAAAATATATATTTAAAAATAGTAATTGATTGATTGTTATTTGCTTTACGTCCAGTGGCAAATATTTCCCCTTTTGAAATGATTGAAAAGCTGGTCTACTTATATTACCGCATACTGAAATGGTGAAGTTAGTTTGTTGGATTCTCTTCCCTTTAACATGCAGAGCCGGAATTATATTCCTTTGAGATGAGTTGCATTTATAAGGCACATGGACAGACGGACAGACAGACACATAGAAAACGATAAACGGCAGAGTGATTCTGGTGTACCTGCAGAACACTTGATTTACGTGGTTATAATAAGTGTGAAGTCACGAGAAGGAATGCGTCTCTGCTTACCGGTACTATGATTGTTGTGCAAGCATACAGTGTGATCTTCGATTTCAGTTTCTTTTGGAGATCAAAATTCATACTACCAAAATATGAGGATTTAAATACAGCAAGTAAGTGTCTTTTCAGACCATATCTGCTAGTTTTCAAAGCTAATTTAACTTCTTAACCTCTATGTTTAATTCTAAACCATGACGACCATATTAGGTCCTGGAACAAATAAAATTATAGACACACTGAGGAACATTCCTTTCTAGTTTGGTTATAATTTGTTCCGTAGTTTGCGAGAATTGGGAAACACTCTTGACCGTCCGTCATACATGGGCTTAAATGTAAACGGAAGATGTAAATCTTATGAACGTATTGGGTTGCAAATACGTTTAGCGAAATTAACTTGATATGAACTTTTTATAGAGATTGTTATGACAAGGTATGTAAACATAAATGACGTTCATATTACGAATGAAAGTGTGGTCTGTATGCATAAAAAGAAAGCAACCCATTGATACAGATTACCCCAAAATAAACAGAGGTTAACACATAGTCTTCAACAATAGACAGGTGTCCATTCAAAATTTTAAGCTCTAATTTGCCTCAAGTTTCAAAAGTTATGAATAAATTTCACAGAGTCTATCAAAGATCTGCCAACAACACTTCACTATATAACAACAACATCAATAAGCAAAACAAAACAACAACATTGAGTTGATGTAATACAACCACTAGCTATATGGACATGCAGGCACATCTACATGTGGCGGTGTTTTGAACTATTTGGGTTTTTTTTAGATATCAACAGTTCTAATTTTTAATGTCGAACTAAAGACTAACAAACGGATCATAAAAAAACAGACGAATAAAATAAGTACTGGAAAAAAACACATGTCTTTGATAAGGATAGTGGATAACAAATACACAAATAAAACATAAATAAACAATACCGTTTAAATGCTCGCACTAACTGAACATGCTGAAAGCAAACTTGAAATAATTACTAGTAATCTGCTAATGTGAAATAATTGACCTTGGTTAACAACACATTGTCGAACTCAAATTTTTCACTATTTCTGCAACGTCAAATAAACTATAATTTGTGTCTTACCTTGAAATTATAGTTATTTCATAACATCAATGATTGATTAACTAAGTATGTATATTAATAGACTGTTGGGAAGTTTCTTACTGCGTGGTACTTTTTAATTGGTGATTATTTATTGAAAAATATTTTCCTGTTCTATATTTTTAGCACGCTTTAAATCCCCTTTTCATCAAACTAAATATAGACAATGCTGTGTGAACTATTTGTTTAGGAAAATACCCGCAATACAAGACCCATATTTTGTATGTGAATAAAAAGAAATGTCGAATAACGTCAATGAGACACAAAAAAAAAGTTTATATAAATAAGAAGATGTGGTATGAGTGCCAATGAGACAACTATCCATCCAAGTCACAATGTGTAAAAAGTAAACAATAATAGGTCCAAGTACGGCCTTCAACACGGAGCCTTGGCTCACACCGAAAAGCAGGCTATAAAGGGCCCCAAAAAGACTAGTGTAAAACTATTCAAACAGGAAAATCAACGGTCTAATTTATATAAAAAAAAACGAGAAACGAGAAACATTTATGAACCACACCAACAAACGACAACCACTGAACAAGAGTCTCCTGACTTAAGACATGTGCATAAAAATGCAGCGGGTTCAAACGTTTTAACAGGCGCCAACCTTTACCCTAACCTGAAATTAGTCTTTTAAAGGGCATTAGCTCCGATTTAGACAAAAATAAAACGATGACTTTTTTCCAAACTTAACCAAAGCTGAATATTAAAATGATATTTGTCTATTAGCAATCAGTTTGGTTCACTTTTGTCAAAATAATCTCATTAACATCGCTGATTTATTATTGGCTTTAAAATCAAACATTCAACCTCATATTCATGTGACCTCCAATTTATCACTTAGATGGAGATGGGTTGCGCATGACATGAAATCAAACAGACCGAGAAAAGGGGTTATTATACGATTGTATGTGCTTGTCTGTGTATTTATTTTAATATTTATGTTAACATCGCGTCAAAGGACTATCGACATTCATCGGAGGTCATGTCGACAGTTAATTAGATGGCGTCTAGTCTAAAACAAACACAAAAAGCTGATACATTAGAACGAGTCAATGCATTGCTTTTTGTTTCTTTAGGTCTTTTTTGTAATTTTGATACACGTTTTAGTATTTAAAAGATGAAAACTTTAGTCAAATAGGTGAACATGAATTTGAAAGATAATGCAGCTTTAATAGTAAATGTTCAGTTTGCAACAATTCACACCGAATATCGTACAGTTAAACGATTTCATCCGTCAATAAACCATTAAAGTAAACATTTTAAGTAAAACTTTATAAAATAAATACTTATCTTCATAAATTCTGAGATTTTCCCCAATTACGTCATATCAACAGAAGGAATTCTAACCTAAAAATAGAAAGTAGGGCACCATTGTTTCGGCGCATGAATACACTCGATGATTCCTCAAAACATAAGAAAAAGGAGGATGAAAGAGAATCGGTTGCATATTGCACCTATAAGATAATTTATAGTACTAAGAGTTACTTTCAAAAATGTATAATTCTTTTGCGATAAAAACGATAACATCACTTCTTATTTAAAACAGAAGAACAGAAGAAAAGTTTACTCTGTGCTGTACCTATAATTCACAGACAGTAAGGATTTGCTGCATGGACATACATAGAGCGGATGTAATAGGAAATAAACGAGTTCACATTTCACCAGAAGCCTACTGACAATACTTCTTCTAAATGAGCATTGTTGAATCAAGTTCAGGTTGACGAAAAAGCTCTATTTTTACGAGCTTAAATGTTAAAATTGCATAAAAGCTTTCTGTTAGTAATTGCGAGCATTGTTGAATATGGTATTGCTCATAGGTAGTGACAACGGTATGACAAAAAAAGAACGAAGACGAAGAGACAAACAAATACACAAAACACTACATAAAACAAAGATCGAGCAATATTAACCTGGGGTGATCTCAGGTGCTCCGGAAGGGTAAACAGATCTTGCTTTACTAGTGATACCCATCATGTTGCTAGTGGTCAATACAAAATCGTTTGTGAGTGTTATTCTGTGAGGTCACAATCGAGAAAAAGAAGACAAGATTAAGGTCACGATAATTGGAACATATCTGTGGTCATATGTGACATAAATATTGGAGAACGGTCATCCAACTCGTGAGGGCGTCCGTGAAACGTTTTCAGGAATGACTTTAATTTACCACTTGGAAACCTTGTTGAATAGCTTCCTTGTAAGCAGAACCCTCTTTTAAAGGACACAAGCTTTGAATTATCGTGTCGACTGGGAGATATATACTCCAAATGCAGTCGCTGCAGGAATGCTGCTATATAAAATGAAAAGTTATCAATTGAGAATCTAAATCATTCCGTTTGTAGTTTTGTTCTCAACCGATCCTTATTGTCAATTTCTAGATGTAGGCGATAGGAGACATACTTCTGAAATTTTGATGTTGATGACAGTTTGATTTTTATTAGTTATCTTTCTTTGCTTAGAACGATTGCCTACTTCATATTTATCATACAACTCCTTTTATTCATAAATTATAGCGCCGATTACCACGGAGTCAAAAACAGTGATCTGTAATATATATCTGTTGAAAGAACGGAATACACATTGAAGTAATGTATGCTATTTTATGGGTAACAGGTATAATCATTTCTTTAGCATACAATTTTTCTTTGTTAAAATAACAAATAACATGTAAAAACAAAGCATCTTGAATAGGGTAAGCTCTTTTTACATGATAAATATCTTCTTTGGACACTATCCTGTTATTACATACAATGATTCCGTGGTTAAGATCTGTACCAGACAGATATGGCAAATCGAAATACAAAGCGTTATCTAGTGTAATAGTACCTTTAGGTGCAAGGAGGTCCTCAAAACAAATCTAAATAAACAAATACAAAAAGATATGTAAAAAGTTCTCATATGTGAATTATAATTTGTAATTTCTTTATTTTTGTAATATTGGTCGCTGCCTTTATATTTACACCAATATGTCGTTAAATGAAATTGGTTACCCTGCATTAATCATGCTTTTCTATATATATGGTCAAATCCCTGTAAGACCCCCTCTTAATTTATTGAAGAATATCATTCTGCATTGACAATAATATCTTGGTGAATAACGCCCTCATAGGTGTATTTTATACATGCATCGTTATTCTTTAAATCAGAAAAACATATTACGTTATGCCAAACTCCCCGGCAGTTCCAGCTCCGATCCGCATACTACTCTACACTAAGTGATGGAGTAAAGGAAAAAAGTTCCGGAACGGAAACGATCACTGTACGGAGTTCGACGTTATGCATCATTCCGTGTTTCAATGACTAATAAACAATAAAAACAGAGGGCACCAAGGGAGCAACAAAAACAAGAAGTCCAATAAAGAATGACAATATGGTCAAAAGAACAATGATATAAAGCCAAATAATAATAAGAAAATATTAAACACAAAAACTACAGATTTCGTTATACAATCCCCTTCCCAAAACTCGAGTGAAATTAGCCGTTGTGTTGCTAATGCTAGTAAATATGCGATGGTAATTCTCATTCGGTAATGCCACAATCGAGGGAAAGAGAACGGAATATTGATATTTATCTAAATGTAAACTATATCGGTTCCGTCTGTTACGTTAAAGTACTAGTAACCTTTTAATCATTTGTTTTTATCATTATTTTAGCTTAGAGTCTATTTTTATTTTGCAGTTCTAACGGCTTTTTAATTCAATTAAATCAATTACATTGAAGAGCATAAAATTTGAAATCACGCGACCATTTTGAATTAAACATAGACATATTTAATTCATTTGCACATTGACTTTTGATGTTACTATGACTTACATGCACATTGATCTTTATTTGCGTTAATGAAGATAAAGTCAAATGTATGTCCTCTTTTAGTCAGGTCAGTTAAAATATCCATTGCTGGTCCTGAAAGATTGATATTTTTATTACATGGAAGTTTATAAGAAAAGAGGTTCCAATTTATATTTTCAATTTGCCTTAAATTAAAAGTAATTATTTTAAATATGTCGTTACATACATATATAAACAGTATGTGTTATACTTATCATCCAAAAATTTCAACTTATTTACATAGTATAAATACAAAGTATGTTAATATACGTACCAACCAAAATTTCGACTTGTTTACCATGTGGCGACTTGTCTAATAGTTTACGTCCTACATCTTCCAAATATGGGTCGATTTCACATGTAACAACAGTGCCATCAATCGGCAACACTTCGGCCATACAAAGAGCACTGCATCCGGTAAACATACCGACATCAAGTACCCGTTTCGCCCCTGATGCGTTAATGAAGAATCTCAGTACATAGCCTACAAATGAAATTACTGGCCATACAATTTTGTTCTCCACCATTTTAATGATGTTTTCTGGTAACATTGAGACCCTTTGCAAAATTGGTAAATATATACTAGTATACTATAAAAATCGATGAGATAGTATATTCCTGGGAAATTAACTTCCAAGAAAACAAACAAAATGACAAATTTTTGTACCTGTGGTTTGTAAAGAAGAAACAGTTTTGAACACATTGATATTTAAAAGCTCTCAATTTAACTGCGTTTCTAACTAATGACTGAATTAACAATCAGAAAAATTCTACTAATACTAAAATTTAAAAGTTCAAATATTAAACTACTATAAGAAAAAGAAAAAAATATATTACATGCAGTTTGACAATTTTGATTTTAGAGCAACGTCCTGTCGGAACTGGTATGTTTAACTCATAGCCACTTGTAGATAGTGTGTCATTTTACGTTCAACATTGAGGCCTGTTGCATGATAGATAAACTCATCATATATACCAGACGCGCGTTTCGTCTTCAAAAAAACTCATCAGTGACGCTTGAATAAAAAAAGTTAAAAAGGCCAAATAAAGTACGAAGTTGAAGAACATTAAGGACCCAAAAGTTCCGAAAGGTTTTGCCAAATATAGCTAAGGTAACCTATTCCTCGGGTAGAAAATCCAAAATT